CCCCCCCCCCCCCCCGGGGGGGCATGGCGGGGCAAGCGAGTGGCTGTGTGGTGCTCAGTTGCCAGCTGGGGCTAAACCACAACACCTTATTATGGTTTCATCTTTTGTTTGTTTTCCCCTTAAAAGCCTCCTTCAATTTACCAAGCAAACAGACAGGATCATCACAAGCAGATGTATTTAAATATAACAAACACAAAACCCAACACACATCTCTGACATTCTCTGTAACAGCACACATAATATGTAAACATCCATTCCAGAAACCTCCATGCTATCTGCTGTGCAATGCAAACACAAGTTGCAACTTCCTGTAAAACTCCTGGATGATTTTCATAAACTTTATAAAGGCAAGCTGACAACCAAAACCTTGAAGGCACGTGACCTGCCATTTGTACATGTCCATGCAAACTCCCTGCTGAAGCATCCCAGGAAAGAGCTGAAAAAGTCCCTCTCAACAAAATGTTAGCTTAACACTAATTTATTTTTTGGCTTTTCCCTTTCAAGAGCCCAAGAAAGGGATGCTGAGGATTTGAGAAGGAATCTGGCTGCAGAGTAATGGTCTGAGATGATCAGATTGCACTGGTTACCAAATGCACCCCCGATAAGGAGCAACTGCTCTGCTCCTCTGGGCTAGAAGTGGCGATACAGAGGTGAAAAACAACGTGCCACCCTCCCCAGCAGCACTCACCCACTGCCACGTGCTGGTGCCACTGGCAAGTTAGTAACCAGCAGTCAAGAGTCTTTGACAGCAAGTCACAGAATCATAGAATCGTTTAGGTTGGAAAAGACCCTTGAGATCATCGAGTCCAACCGTTAACCTAGCACGGCCAAGTCCACCACTAAACCATGTCCCTGAACACCACGTCTACACATCTTTTAAATACCTCCAGGGATGGTGACGCCACCACTTCCCTGGGCAGCCTGCTCCAGTGCTTGACAGCCCTTTCGGTGAAGAAATTTTTCCTCATGTCCAATCTAAACCTCCCCTGGCGCAACCTGAGGCCAGTTCCTCTTGCCCTATCGCTTGTTACTTGGGAGAAGAGACCGACATCCCCCTCGCTACAACCTCCTTTCAGGTGGTTGTAGAGTTCAGTAACTCATCTTTATGTGAAATATCTTTTAAAAATAAGAAAATAATAAAACAGTGAGCAAAATATTAAAATGCTCTTGATGCTCAAGTGTGACATTAGTTTATACACGTTCCCAGTTCCCCAAGCTTTGTACGAAGGTGAAAACAGCGGGGCCCTTCAGTAAGCGGGCAAGCTTGTGTGCACCACCGGTGCAGCGGCAGGATCTTAACGAGCAGTAGATGGAGGCTGGGCACAAGCAGCAGATTTCTTCCCGCCGCCACACAGCGTGGGGCCAGCGTGCCGAGGCGTGAAATCTGG